TGCAAACTAAAAATTCATGCAGGCAATGAAGGATTTTAATAACATAAACATACTGAGAAAATATTGTTGCTTTACGACTGATAGTTTTGCAATAACTTAGGGCTTTCAAAACGTTCGCCATGTTGCCCCGCTTTCCCTGAATAATGTAATTTTTGAAAAGTATTTTTTTACTTTTGTCCACCGTCTGGCCCACTGTGCGTTGGATAAAAGATGAATCAATTCTTTTTGTATGTTTTTGCCGAAGGAATGTACATGCGTTATATTGTCTTTAGTCTTTCGAAGATGCTCATCCATAAGTGGGTCAAACAAAGCTAAAAATTCCACAAACTTCAGAAAGTTATCGTTATCAGCAGTGTTCAGTTTCTCATGTATTTCACGTAAAACAAGATTTTGCATACCAAGAGCTCTAACTAAAGCTCTCAGCCATTTTAAGCTGCCAATACTGTTCTTCTTTTTTAACAAGACGCACATGTTCGGCATCAGTTGTTTTATTGTTTCGCAGTCGCAGCTCAAACTCTTTCCATGACTGAAAGTTCGCTAGATGTATACTGCTTTTTTCATGCCCTGACTGAAAATTTGCTAGATGTTCACTGCTTTTCTTATGCCCTGACTGAAAATTCGCTAGATGTTCACTGCTTTTCTTATGCCCTGAAAAAATTGCGGGCATGTTTTTGCAATCATGTGAACCGTTGGAAGAAAGAGATGACGCAGCTGTTGTGCTACTGGTAAACAGTTTGCAGCAAAAGCAATACACAGAGTCATTACTTACAGAATACTGCAGTCAAAGTCTGCGAACTTTTTCTCCATTGATAAGCCAGCGGTTGTAATGGTTTTTTGAAAATTTTCTTTGCATACTGTCCTTAGGAAAGTCAAACTGATCGATTTGTTTTGGTCAATGTTCTATCAAAAGTTGTCGCATTTCATCATCAAATACGATCCAAAGTAGCTCGATTGCTATAGTTAGCATATAGAACAGAGAACTTATCAATTTTACGTACTTCAGATTCTTTGTGTGTTAAGTGTATTACATTGTAATTCAAACTCTTCTGATACTGTTATCTCACCGGCTTCCCTGTCTGCTTCAATTTGATTGTTTAATTCTCTATTACTATTTTCTTTTGAACATAGATACTTTAAGGGGGAAGTACCCCAAAAATGTTAAAACTCATGTTCAAACAGTAAAATTGATTTTAAACAGTATTTAATGTAAAAATTTTATATTTCAGAATAAAAATTTTTAAAAATTGTGCTTTTTTGCCATGGTAACCAAGAAAACATTGGAAAAATAACCAAAAAACAGTTAATGCCCGGCTAACTTATCCGAAGAACTACATATATTCAAACTGATATACTGCTATTCCCATTAACTAATACTTTGAACTGTGATCTGAACCTAAAATTTTATAAAAAATATGACAGTTAGTTCTTCAGGGGGCAAATATATTATCGTTTAATGAATTTGGGTCAAAATTAGGCAATTGAAATAGGCATAGAACGTGTTCTGTCAAGTATTTCATAAAATTTGAGGTTCAAATCACAGAAGGTATATAATAGGATAATTACTGAAAATTTCATCATTAAACACCAAGCGGTTCCAAAGTTATCACAGCCGGGGCATTTAAAAACCTTATTTTGAGAAAAACGCAAAAATAGAAAAAAAAAATTTAAAATTTCACAAAAAATATGAAATATAACTAAATTATGTTTAAAATAATGTTTCAGAATGACCTAGGGGCATACTGACTTCCTTCAAAGTTTTCATATTTGTCCTTTGATGCTTTTGACAACCCTCGTAGAATCTTTCGCCGCTTCTTGGATGACTCTAGATTTTTATAACCAGCTAAATAAATACGTTTTCGATTTTGATTATCGCACAAACTTGATGTATATATCCCAGGTGTCATGTTTAACTGTTTATAAATTAAAAGAGAACTTTTTCTCCCAATACTAAAGTTTGCTACAGCATCGTATGTTCCAAATTTTAACTGTATTAGGCTGACATACTTTGCTTTTGGAATTCGATCCCAAATTATTGCATTTAGACTTTCGTTTTGATTTTGTGTCTGCCCATGCAAACATTTACGTAACAAAGACTCCTCACTTAAATCTGCATATATTGGTTTTAAATGTTTTATAATTGATAGTGGAAGTCCTGCACCTGGTTTGTACGTTGATTTGCCTGTTGCTTTATCTTTCTGATATCTGCACCAACTGTTTTCACCAATTGGACAGTGAGTGTGCCAGTTATTTTCCTTTGATGAGGCAACATGAAAAAGTGTAGCATGAATGGATTTCTTTATGCCTTGTAAATTGTTTTTATTACTCCTCACCGCAATCCCATAATAATTCTGAAGCTTATCAATAACACCGTTTGTTAACTTTCCACGGCCACAGAGGTTTTTCATGTTTTTTTTTATGTTTTTAGACGTGTCCCAACTCGTTTCTGAACATGCCCAACACATTCTAACTTTTCAACTTCAACACCAGGATAAGTAAATTTCACAGCTGGATAACTTTTACTATCACAATCTCCATAAAATTTAGTATACTGCAATCCGTATTCTTTGACAGATCTACTAAATATACGTTTGGCACCAGTCACTTCCATACTTCCTGCTGAGCCAATACAATTTACATTACAACTATGAGATTTGTACCAATTTTTGTAGCTCTCTTAATTCTTTGATTTTAAATCTTCACGTAGTTGACATTGCTTAAAAAGTCTACTCATTGGCTCAACATCTAACACTTTTCCATTATCCATCGACAACTCTATTCAGTGAACTGTATCCTCTACGTTGCCAAGTTCCATCAGTTGAAACTCTAGTATCAACAATGTTGTTGCTATTAACTTTTATTTCTTTTGCAGCCTCAAGCATTGTTTCTTTAGCAACTGTAGTAACAGCATCAGTAATAACCTTTACAGAGCCATTGTAATTTTTCTTACTCATCGGACTTGGGAAGTTCATTAATGCAGAAAACTTTTCAAGTCCTGAATACCCTTGTCCAATTGATCTCATGCTATATACAATACGAAGATTAATATCATGAGTGCGGTTACAAACTTTAGATGTATAGAAATCTTTACTATATCCACAAACACTGCAGCAACATATTAAATTCGAAGCATACCCTTTTTTTTCATAAAGTCTTTCAATACCATGCTATTATCGTTAATACACTGTGGACAACATAAAGATTCAAATATAGTGTTTTACATAAAGATTCAAATATAGTGTCAAATTAGTCTATAACCATTTATTTTTTCATCATTTTTATTTGGAATATCATTTTTAATATATTCAATCTTGGCGGCTGATCTTGAAGAACTAGTATCAATGTCTGAATATTTTTTTGAGTTTGTCATTGATGTTAGAGATGATAAAGTATGTTGGTTACCACAAAACACTCTTTTCTTTCCAGTAACTCTAGTTCTTTGCTAAAAAAACAATTTAAATGGTCACCTCGCGTACCATTAATATCTTTAAATTAATATAATGTTTCAATTTCAATTTATTATTATAAAAGTTTTATTTTAAAACTTTTAAAGCTTCGTAAATATAAATAACACTCTATTACAGTATCGTCCACAATTATTTTCGTCGCGTCCACAATTATTTTCGTCGCGTCCACAATTATTTTCGTCGCGTCCACAATTATTTTCGTCGCGTCCACAATTATTTTCGCTTACCCATAATTATTTTTAAATCAAAACACTTTAAGCCATAATGACTAACAACAACTCAATAATCCAAATATCGAAATGGCTGAACAAACAAAAAATAAAACAGCAACGGAAGAAAATACTGCTACAATAAAAAGAATGTTGATTGGCAACGAATCAAGTCGATCTATTGCAAATGCAACAGGTCTTTCAATTAGGACAATACAAAACGGGATACGAAAGCTTGAAGCAGACCAAAATATAATACCAAAAAAACGTGGCAGAGCTGCACGAAATAATATTGAAAGAAAGAGAAAAATCGAGTTATTAATTAATGCAAATAATGCATTAACTACTATTGACATTGCAGAGTTAATGCCAGAAGAACATAAATGCTCGACAACTACAATCAAAAGAGAATTAAAACAAATGGGATATACCCGTAAAAGGCTTAAATCGATCGTTGTTGCAAGAAATTCAGCTCAAGTAATAGGAACGAGGTTTATGTTTTGCAATCATGTTTCTTTTCTGCGAAATTCAGATCTATGTTTCTTTTCTGCGAAATTCAGGTCTATATTGATGAAAACGGGTTTAATCTGCATGATTCACGACATTATGGATATGCATTATTAGGAAGCACCCCGTTTGTTACAGTGCCCACACAGAGAGGAAGAAATGTTAGCCTAATATGCGCTATTTCAGTTACAGGGTGTATTGGATTCAAACTAAAAATTGGAGCCTTTAATACCACTAGCATGCACGACTGGATAGAACAAGATTTAAGACCAGTTTTAAGTGATCGCAGATATGTTGTAGTAATGGATAATGCGCGATTCCACCATTCATCAATAGTAGAATCGGCATTTTGAGAAAGTAATTGTACTATCCAGTTTTTACCACCTTACAGTCCTCAACTTAATCCTATCGAAGAGTTTTTTGGCGTGGTTAAAAATTTATTTAAAGGAATACAACCGCGGCCTAACAATTCACAAGAAATGATTAGAATTATTACTGATATTTTATCTGGTTTTACCGAATATTCTTTTGAGAATTATTACTCTCACATGCGTGAGTGGATGTTAAAAGGAATTCAACGTAATGAATTTATTTGATTAAATTATACTTGGATTTTTTTCTTGATTTCAAAAATTTTTAAAATAAAGTGTTTTGATTTAAAAATAATTATGGACAAACGAAAATAATTGTGGACGCGACGAAAATAATTGTGGACGCGACGAAAATAATAGTGGACGATACTGTATTATAAAAACGCATCTCCCCCATCCGGTGGCGTCGGCTATATAATTTGAAAATAATAAATATACTTTAAATAATATAAAATAGTTTTAAATAGAAACTAGGTTAAACGCAAGTACCGGCATCTCCACGTCAATATTTGTTTAGTTTTTTTTAAAGTAGTAATTCAATATCTCTTTGTTGTTTATATAATGGGTGTTGGCAGTTTAATTTGCTATGTTGTACCTGCAATAGTTTTGGGGGCAATGCTATATTATTCCTGGTCAATAACCTTGGAAAATGCTGATTTAAAGTATAAAATTAACGAATCTAATTTAGCAAAAAACTATGAACCATTATCAACTGAAGAAATTAATAAAAAAATTGAAAAGGAGATAAAAGCTAAAGATCAGTTCTTAAAAGAATTTGATGTAAGTATCGAAGTCAGATTTATTAAAATTAATTTAAGACGGCATAATATGGAAAAGTTCAAAGTTACCTAATGTTTTTTCATCCATGCTTTTTAAAAATGTCGTTACAGTTCAAGGATGCTTAAATATAGTATACAACTATTCTAAAGAAACATTTTTTATACTGTTTGTAAATTTCTAAATAGATATTAATACGCTTATCATTAACTATTACTTAAAGTATTGCTACCCTGACCATTGTTGTGGTCCTTAAATATGTTAAAAAACAAAGAAAAAATATGTTTAAAAATAAAATTAAGTAAAATTTGAAAATATCTTTGAATTACCGCTGTAAAAAATTCTTGTCTTTTAGTTAAATAATTTTAGAGAAAATTTTATTGAAAACTACTCTTGATTTCAATGCACATTTACTGAACAAAGTGGAAATTTATATCAGTTTATTTTCAAATGTATTTTTGTTGGATCACAATATTTGAGAAATACAAAGAAATATTGTGCAAAAATTATACAAAAGTTATAAATATGCTGATGCAAATTTTAACCTCCCATAGGAAATTCATAATGGAATTTTTTTCAGTGGAGTTCTCCATAAAATTATATAAAAAGTTGAAGGACAAGCACTTTGTTTTGTAGATTTAGCTTGCTCTTGTTTGTTCCCAAATATTGCCCTTGCGCATAGATTCTTTAACTTTTTGAAGTGAATAACATAAAAAACTAAAAAAATCACTAGTCTTCTTCTGGGAAGAAATATGAGTTTTACATATTTTAAACTAATTAATTTTTTTTATAAAACATTTTTCGCTTACATATAAATAAATATATATATATATATATATATATATATATATATATATATATATATATATATATATATATATATATATATATATATATATATATCAGGCTTGGTCAGGAAGCAAGTGTAATTGCATTACATTCCTGACTACAAATATAATATTTAATTTTGACAAATTAGCAACAACTTTTTAGATGTTTTGAGAACATTACAATAATGCACAAAAAAAGTTTAACTTGACTGGCGGTAGACAATTACAAAAACAAACTTTGAAACTTTAAAAGAAAAGAGTTCTTAATGAAAAAAAACTTTACTAAAACAAAACAAAAATTAAGTTTATAATTAATAATTTCTAAGCTTCATTCTTTTACAATTTTTTATAAAATTATTTGACACTCCTCCATATTAAGTCTTTTCTTTTAGCAATCTATTTAAAATGTTTAAAAAATTCTGCCAGACCCCTGAATCAGTAGTATATAATGATCAGTATCCAAACAAGACTAAGTATACATTTAATAACTTTATATTTCTTTAAGTCCATCAGTTTTTTATTCTGTATTATAAATTATATTATAATCTATATTATAAATTGATATATAACGGACATATTATATTCTAATTGAATTATAATTTATTTTTTTGATTTTACAAATTCAAAACAGAAAAAAGAAATTAAAGTTTCCAATGGAAGACTTTATAATGATAGCTGGAAAGGGTTGCTTTTACTGGTATATAATGCATTTAAAAGAATTTTTTCAATCTGATTTAACAATAAAAATTTATTTGAAAAAAATCAATCTTCTAAACAAATGCTGTTTCTCTAAAGTGTGTGTATATATACATTTCTTTTAAAAAAATTTTTTTTTAAATATGACAGATTATTAGATAAATTATTTTGTGATAAATATATATGTATACATTAATAAAGTAATATATGTATGTTATATTATGCAATCAAGTATGTTGTTACTGGCAATTTAGTTTGTTGCTAATGGTAATAAAGTTTGCTGTTACTAGCATTAAAATACTAAATAATGTTTACATGTGTTAATTAGTAAGGAGAAAATTTTTTTTTTGGTAGGGAGTATTGGTTTACTTTCTTGACAAACTAGATTGCTATTAACAACATACTTGATTGGTTAATTCCACGCCAACTGGACTAAGATCCAATATGGACCCCTCAGATTTTGATAAAACTTAGTGGTTTTGTTACTATCAATGAGAAAAGTAATTCCTGAAATTTTCAGCATAAAATCTTTTGTGGTTCATGAGATACGGTCATTTGAAATTCTGATTTTTCCGAAAAAGAAAACTTTATTAGCAAAAACATGTTTTGTTCATACTTTGAAGCTTTATATTTTAAAAACAAAATTTCAGAAAACCTTTTAGTTTTTTTTATTATATACAACTCTAGACTTACTTTAATAAAACTTTGACATTAAGCTCTTGAATGTCACATTTTTTTCATAATGGCTACCTAGCCGAAAAAATTGTTTTCATAATGGCTACCTAGCCGAAAAAATTGTTTTCTAGTTTAATAGACTTTAATACAGTGATATCAGAAAAATAAAATTGGGTAATCATGGGGAAGTTACAAAATCAGAACAATGAAAATTACACAAAATGCATTAAAGACAATAAAAATTAAGTTATTGTTGTACTTTAGTTTGTATTATATTTTGTAATACAAAGTATGTATGAATTTAAAAGTTCATAATCAGTACTAGAAATAAGTTTAATTAAAAGTGAATTAAACTCAGTTTTTAAATAGCCCTTGCTCTTTCCTGGCCCTTCCCCCCCCCCCCTCCATCTATTTATTTTTTAACATTCACATTTTTTATCAGAACTTAGAAAAAAATTGTAATTGAATGCTTCTCCCTACGTGGTGGTGTCTGGTTTTATGTCTGATGTATGAAGTGTCTTTATGCTTAAACACACCACTAAACTTACATATGAAAAATGAAATTTAGTTTTTAATGCTTTTATATAAAACTTATTAGTAGCTTATTAGGTAAAACTGAAATGAAAGACTAATAATTAGTATCATGACTATAAATTTTATAATATTTTTTCAATACATTCACTATTCCACCCTTCCCCATTATTTTAACTTTTATCTAATTATCATTTTCAAATTTAGATTACAACTTAAATACCAATTTATAAGAGTTATTTGACTTGTCAACACAATGCACTAGTTGATTATGTAATAAAAAATATTATTTTGTTATAAACAGTCAATATAAACATTGAATTCTTTCAATTTCTATTGAAAAATTTCTATTGAAGGTGCTTCAGGTCTCCATTAAGTATGTGTTTGTGAGTACTATTAAAATGTAAAACTTTTAGCATTACAAATACCAGATATTTCAGATTATAACGACCTCTTGACATTAGTTGTATGTGACTTAACAAAATCAAGACTGCAGTTGCAATAACTGCACAGATATCAACACACTAAAAAAGTATCTTACTGCTTTGTTTGATAGACAGCATGGAAGATATCACTTTTAATCAGTGGCAAACAGCCAACAAAAAACATGATATAGTTCCAGTAACTCTTCCTGTGTATGATTTTATTTAAAAAGCTTGTCAACAAATTGACCAATTAAGAGACCACCATTAGATAGCCAAAAATCAAGCCTAAAATATCATTACCAAGTAATCGTAATTTACATAAAATGTAAAAGTGTTTGTCATTTCAGATTGTGTTGCAAATGATCATTTCAGATTATTTGATACACAATACAAACTCAGTTCATTGTTTCATTTATGAAGTAGTAAAACAAAAGAGTTGTTGAACAAAACTTCACCATTGCATTTATTTTAGTGATGGTGCAGGTTCACAATACAAAAAATAATTAAAATATATATATATATCTTTTGTCACTATTAACTAGATTATAAAGTATCTGCAGAATGGCATTTTTTTACTACACCACAGGGAAAGAGTGCTTGCTATGGTGTTGGGGGCTCTGTCAAAGACTTGTAGCTAAGGCCAGTTTACAATCACTTACAGATCCTATCAATTCACCTGAGAAAATGTATGATTGGTGTAGAAAAGTTATCAAAAGAATATATTTTCAATACATTTCAAATGATGGAATTGTATTACATTGCATAAAGTTTAAATTAGAAGAAGAATGTTATGCTACTTGTTCAACAATTCCAGGAATGAAAACCACCATTGTTTTATACCAGAATCATTATCTACTTTACAGATGAGACGGGTGTCATTTGGCAATATTTATACTAATGTAAAAGTACCTGAAATGCAGCATATAGTTAAATTTATAAAATTAAATTTATAACAATGTAGTATTTAAAAAAATATATTTAATATTATTACAAATCAAAAAGTTTTAAACAAATAGACAATTTGATAAATGAAAAGGTTTTCAGTAAGTTTGTAAATTTCAGTAAGTTAGAGTTAAATTAGTATGTTGATTTTAGAACTTTTTATAATAATATTATATCAGTAATAATCCACGGCTATAACAGGATGGCCACAGCTCCTCTAAAATCCTCTAATGTCCTCTTTTAATATGATCGAATCTCCTCTTTAACTCCTCTTTTTAATTTTTTTATTTCTTGATTGTAGTATAATTTGGGTATTTAAAGTACCCATTGTATACCATATAATGAGTATTTTAAATACATATTATATGGTAGTATAATGGGTATTTAAGATACCCATACCCGGTCAGCAAAACTGGTTAACACCTTAAAGTGCATCATATTGTAAAAAATTGCTTTAGCAAATCAATGCTATTTAACATAAAAAAATCACATTATTGACCCCTGTCCAAACCTTATAAATGTAGAAACATGAATTTTAAACTTATAGTTATAAAAAAAATTCACTAATATTCTCTATTTTTATTCAAAATTTTGAAATTTTGCAAAAAAAATCCTCTAAATTCAATGCAAAATCTCCTCTAAAATCCTCTAATATCCTCTTTTTCTTATGAAGATTTTATGTGGCCACCCTGTATAATTATATCCTAGTTAATACTTAAATAATATACTATATTAGTATATTAATTGCTAATTTAGCTATTGATTGTATATATGGTTTCCATGAAAGGTCAGTAGTAAAAAATAGTCCTAGAAGACATAAAAAAAAGGTCTCGCTAAAAGGGTTGCTATTCATTAATATAGGAATGTTGACAGTATTGTTTGCAATAAATAACTAAGTTTAGTT